TGGATAGCTATTGTTAAAGAGATATACCATAGTACTTAGTACTACTATCCCAGTATCCTACTGTGAAATCCTGTACCAATTTCACTGCATTGTCTCAATTGGCTTTATCCTGTCTTGCGCTGTTGCATATTTGCTACTTTCAAAATTAAAAAGAAAAATACATGTTAAGACCCATGCATGTGTAGAATCTATAAACAGTTTATGAGAACTGATCTTATAACAATTGATGAAATGAACAGATACTTTGAAGAAAAAGAGACACTAAAATACCCAGTGCTGATCCTGGAGTGTCATAATGTGAAACCTAGCAATAGTGTTATTCTTTGTTCAGAGTGATATTAGCCTGCTTGGGTTTATCGAAAGTCAACATAATTGAAGATATAGGTAACTGCATTTTTAAGTGTAGAGGATTGATAACCATATTTCTGAGGTTTTGTTGGATAGTTGAACAGAACTGGTTGCAATCTCACTGTTTGAATCCCCACTTTATATGCTCCAATTTAGTATCTTGAAGAACTATTTGTAAGAAGACAATCTGTAATCATCAACTAGTGATTTCTTACTGTTTTTCTTTGAAATTATGTATTATTTCTACCCGTTTTCTGTTTTTTAAGTCTTTCTTTAAATTCAGTTTTAAAAAGAAGACACTGCAGTACCCAGTGCTGATCATGGAGTGTCATGAAGTGAAATCCAGCAATACAATTATTCTTTGTTCAAAATGATTTTTTTTAATTTTTAATTTTTTTTAATTTAAAGGAAACAAAAAATACATGGAGATAAAAAGGGTAGAAATAATACAAAATTACAGAAAATAAATGGTAAGAAATCGCTGGTTGATAAATTACATATTGTCATCTTAGAAATAGCTGTTCAGGTTACAAAATTAAAGTATTTAAAATGACATTCAAAAAGTGACACTGCAAACAGTTCTGCTCAATGATCAAACAAAAACTCAGTAATATGGTTATCAGTCCTACACACTTGTTTTACATCTCAAAGAGGGTAAGATTAAACATAGCAAAACAGAACAAAACAGTTAAAAAAACAATTTAAAGAAATACAGATTTCAAAGCAAGTCCACGGGAGATCTTCACTGTCTATCTAACTGTCTCTAGTTTCTTACAAATAGTTGTCCCCATCTTCACCCACATTATATACATATTGCATATTATAGAACTAATCAAATCATTACAGGATGATGAAGGCTTTTTAGGTCTTCAAGATCTAACATTGGGGAAGACAATAATAACTACCATTGCATCTCTCATTCTCTTCGTGGTAGCCGTCCCCATCTCTACATATGCTGAAATTGAACTTAAGAGACTAGACTAATATCATTCTGATCAGTGAATAATAGTATTGCTAGAATTTATATCCTAGTGCTACAAAATTAGCATTGGGTTTCTTAGTGTCTCTTCTTCAGAGTATCTGTTCATTACATCTTGCATTATGTAATCTGTTCCCGTAAATAATTTTTTTAAAAAATCTCATGTGTGAATTTCTACATATATATCTATCCTCTCTGTATTATAGAGAAAAACAAATCATAACAAGACAGCAAAACAAATTCCTAGAAAAACATGCAATGGATAAGACATTTAAGACCACAATATAGGTGATCTTCTGTAGTTACTATGTTTTCTCTTGTTGTTTTCAATAGATTTGTCCACATCATCGGCTTAATATAGTTAAACATAGTATTACCTATTTTTATAAAAACACAACTTTGAAAGCATTGTAGGATTTGAGAGCTGTTAATAATTAATACATTCAAAATGATTTTAACCTGCTTTAGTTTGTTTAATCAAAACATAAAGATATGGATAACTGCATGTATGTTTAAATGTATAGGATTGACAACCATGTTACTAAGTTTTTGTTGGACAGTTGATTAGAACTTTTTGCAGTCTGTTTGAATTCCCACTTTACATGTTGTATTTTTGTACCTTGAACAACTATTTGTAAAACGACAACATCAACTAGTGATTTCTTACTCTTTTTTTTCTCTGAATGTATGTACTATTTCTACCTATTTTGTTTTAATCTTTCTTTAAATAAAAAAATTAAATTAAATTAATCTGTAAAAAAAAAGTCTTGAGACCTGTGAATTCAGTTAAATCATAGCCTCGTTTCCTTTAATACTTCAGATAAAGGAGAAAGGCATCACTGTACTCTTCTCGGGTTGCCTTTCTTGTGTGAACCCAGGGCAGTTGGGTTGCTCCTCCAGTATTCTCTAACCCCAAAGCCCCAGATGAGCTCACAGAACCCCTTCCTCCCTGCTTCTCCTGTTCAGCATCATTGTGCCCCCACCGATACAGGTGATCTCAGGTGACTGCCAGTCATTCCCTTAACCTGCCCCACACCATGCCCTCCTATCCCACCCTGCTTTGATTTTTTTCCCCTCTGGTTTTCAGAACCTTCATTATCTTCTGCCTTCACATATGTCTGCATTTTCCTCTCTGCTGAAAAAGAAGCAAACACACAACCTTCACCTTCCCTGATGCTCATCTTCTTCCTGGAGGCGAACCTGCCTGCTGTCTCCTGGGCCCAGTCCCCTCTTGCACAGCAGCTGTTCTGCTCTGGACCCTGCGCTCACCAAATTCACTGCCATTGTTCTGATGTTTTTTAAAAAACCCTTAGGTATTTTAAAGGACCCAGAACATCTGAACTCTAAATGAACTGTGGCTCCAGTGCACAACACCTTCTTGAAAATCATGGCTGGTCTCATGATTTGATGCTCTCACCATTCTCATTGTTTGAGGACTGACACCCTTTTTTCTTCCGTCTCGCAGGTATGGATGTTTGCAGAGTTCATTCTTTGGGATCTTTTTTCTTTCTCCCTCATTCCTGGCAACTGCATCTGTTTTCATAGCCTCAGTTCCCACCAAGTGGATGGTTCCCAATTCTGTGTCTTTACTGTGAATGTCAACTTCCAAACTTCAGCCAATTTAAATTTCCTGTGTCTCTACGTATTGGAAAAAATTGAAACCTACATTTGTCACCTCACCTCACAACTCCCCACACCATTTTCCCCTTTCCTAAAATTGCCTTATTTCTGTGACAGTTGCCCATAGTAAAACCTGGAACATGCCTAATTTCTCCAGCTCTAAGGATCATCCAATCAGATATCAATGTTTTTGTATGTTATCTTGGTCATACACAATTAGCTTATTCTACCCCACTTAGCACTTAGTTTTATTCTTTAGCAACTTCAGCCTGGTTATTATGTGATCTCATTTGCTGCTCTTCCTCTCCCTAATGTCTCCTCTGCCTTAACCCACTAGGCTAGACCAACTCTCCTAAAGGCTGCCTTCACTATGATACTGTATTTAAAACTTATGCCTACCAGATAAAGTCTGAAGTCCTAAGCCTTTTAGATGATTTGAAATCCTTTATCTGGTGTGACCATCTCTCTACACGAACTTTTCTCTCTAGTTCCCTCCTGGGAAGACCTGAGGCCCAACATGAGTGGGCCCGTTGGTGCCTTTGTTTATACCACTGCCATTACATACTCTTTCCGCTGGAGAAAGTGCCATAGACTGGCTGGCCTGGAACTTGGAATCAGAAATAAGTAAAGCACAGAGGCAGACATGGGTTCACTGGGATAGATTTGAACACGTGAGCTTTTATATGTGAATATCATTTTTTTATATCAAGTATCTTATCCCAGGAAACTCTGCAACTCAAGGAGGGGTATACTGACCTGTACAATTTATGATCTTCAAGAAAACCATCAAACTGGTATTATAAGATTTTATACACATCTGGCAGACTGTGGCCCCTCCAAGGTGAGAACCACTAGTCTCTCCTGAGATCTGTGCCATGTTGGAACTTAGGACACTGGGAAACCAAGCAAGCAGCTTCCCTCCCTGGTAAGTGGTGGTGGTGATCAGACTGTGGCCCCTCCAGGGGGAAAACTGCCAGTGTCTCCTGAGATCTGCATCATGTTGGAACTTAGGACATTGGGAAACCAAGCAACGATCCTGCCTCCCTTCTAAGCAATAGTGAACCTACTGGTCCCCGGCTTAGAGTCGAACATCCCATTTCCCCTACCCCCTTTGTCCGGTCCCTCCATTAGCAAATGGGAACCAGAAATTTGAGCATCTCTTAGGAGGTTGACCATAGCAAATAAGGGGGATTTCTTGTACTACTCTTTGAAGGCAAATATTTTTATTACTATTTTGCTTTATTCTGATTAATGGTACTGCTCTATTCAACATTCTGTTTTGATAAGTTCTATAATGTTCTGTATTTCATTTTATTTTGATATACGTGGTTTCAAGAACAACTACTGTAAAGATAATGAAATATACTTTGATACCTATTACTGTTATCCCGGTAACCTGCTGTGAAGTTCTGTACCAATTTAAAAAAAAAGATTTTATACATATCTAATTCAATTCAAAATATTATGGGACTTCTTGTTTAATATATATATAAAGCATCAGTTTTGCATGACAAAAGTTCTACAGACTGATTACACAATAATGTACATAAATTTAACATAACTGAACTGTACACTTAAAATGATTATGATGGCATATTTTATGTATGTTTTACAACAATTAAAATTAAAATTAAAATATGGGCTTCATTTGTCCCAGACAATCAGAGAAGTGGTCCCTGAGTCAAGCCCACAAGTACAACTATGATGGACAAGCAGGTAATTCTCTGTCCTGAGCCTTTTGTGTAGACTAACTTCATTAATCCTTCCTCAGCCCTGCGCGGTAGTAGTATTAGCATTCGCTCCAGCTAGATTCTGCAGTACAGGAGAAAGGCAGAATCCATTGCTTTAAGTTATCCTTTAAAAATCAGATTCCAGAATATTCCCATAGACTGTCCAAGGGGGTGGGAGAAGGAAGTAAATTTAACTTTCTGTAATTATTTTTATTCAAGTAGAGAGACATTTAGAGATTTACATAGTACATAGAAAACTTCAACAAAGCAATGAGCATCTTACAAATATTTGTAAATATGTAATTATGGTAGTCATCTTTTGAATTTATAAAATTAAAAATATTTTCAGCAAGTTTTGGTATGTGACAATGGAATCAAAAGCAAAACAACAACACCTATCATCTACTGAATGCTTAGTTTCTTTTGAAAAGAAAGAAAAAGTGCTCTTACATTTCTTTCTAAAAAGGGGGAGAGGGGCTTATGAAGTTCAGGTCTGAGCCAGGGGACAGTTCACAAGGGCCTTTTCTTCTGTTTTCAGCATAAACCGACATTGATCATACAACTACCGTCCCATTTCGATCAGTTGCAGAATAAAAAGGAAAAGGTTGATGATGTCCAAGTAGATTTCCAGGGCAGCAAAAACATACTCTTCAGGGTCTATTTCAGAATGGCGGCCTCCTACTATGAGCTGCACGTCCATCACCAGGTACTTGAAGAAAAATAATTATCAAGTAAGTGCCCCAAAAGATCTGGAAAAAATTGTTTTTAGCATCAAGAAAAATGTGCAAAGTAGTCTCTGGCTGAATACGTTCCTCTTATAACTTCAACTTTATGAAGTCCTCAAGTTTGTATTCTTTGAAAGCAAGCTCCTCATCCTCCTAAAGCCTGTGGGAACAAGTCTGAGCATACTATTCCTTTCCAAATTCAAAACATCTTCATGTCGTTGCCAATGATGTGGGCCAGATGGGCAAACTACAAAACGCCTATTTGTAATTTTGGTCCATGTCTTGTTAAACAACAAGTCAAAATAAATATGGTTGTGGCCACTTGGACTCACATAGCTTTATAATTCTGAATTATCTGATAGAAAACATGGCCCATTTGTGTTAGCTTTGTTATGACTTCTATATATACAAAATAGAATGAGAAGGGCCTATCGTGTGATTGAATAACCCCCAAAAGAAACAGCTTCAGCGGCTCAACTGAAGTAGGTAAAACTGTACAGCTCTAAAACATCAAGATTTAAAAAGAGAGGCCTCTCTCAGCCTTACATTTATTGCAAAATGAGCAGACCTAGGCAGTTTGAGAGAGGGAAACCACCAGCACTGTCGCTTGAATTGGAAGCTAGAGGACTCCAGTGCTGTGAGGCGGAGTCCACCAGACAAACCAATGAGAAGATACTTGGGGTTTGAGAGATTTTCTGAAATCCACTTTAGATTAATATCCACTGCAGTCAAACCACCCAAGGGTATTTGCTCTCTTGTACTCCTTCTCCCCTTGAGGGCTTATAAGAATGAGGGACATGGGAGAAAAGGAATAGGATGAAAGTTATTGAACACCCCCTGGGCAGTCTCTTCCTGGGGTCATGCCAAGTGGTCTCTCATGTAATATGGGGATAACCCCTTTGGGGCAGACAAGATTAAACTGAGTTTCAGAAAAGGAAAGGGCAGTGGTAGCAACAGAGAAGGACATCAGATGAGTCTCGAGATACTAAAGCAGGGGCCTCATCTGACCTGCTAAGCTCCTTCTCCACCCATCTCTCTAGGTCTCATCGCAGCACCTTTAGAAGGATCAACAGCCAGGATGAGCAACCGTTCTGATTTTTGGGCCCTTGAAAACCCTTCAGGTAAAGAATTTGATTCCACGAAAAGGCTCCCAGGGGGATAAGCATTCCACTTTGCTTTGACCTCCTTCTATCACCCAGAGTCCTAACTTGATGGCCTAGATGGGGTTAGCAATGGGGCTTCTCAGGAGAGGTTAACATGCATGAGAGCAGACAGGACAGTGAGTGAGAAAGAGGAGTAGTGTCCCTCATCAAGACAACCTGCCCACAAGAAGTGGCAGCCAGGACACAGACACACCCCAGCCAGGAGCCTTTGGCAGTGGGATACTCTCTGCCTCACCCCTTCACATTCCTGGCCATTAAAATACACGGTATCCACAATTTCCTTCTCCTGTTGCGTGATGGTGAGTGATCTGCCTGAACCTGCAGGAGAGTTTTTGCTCTGCCTGCAAATGGGGAACAGAACATCAACAGACAGCACGGAAATGGATTGCGCCTTAAATGGGCTGCAGGGGACCCGGCAGTGAGCACCAACGCACAAAGGCTGAGGGCACAGAGTAAACCCAGAGCGGCACACATCGGACTCTTTTAATAGAATCAAAATGAGAACAGTGAAATGTTAATCTCTTGCTATAAATTTTTCCAACATCTAAAAGACATAATACAATTCCAGCAACAGCACAAAGGAATACAGGGTACAAAAACATAGGTGGTTTTAATGCTTGATGATAATAGGTGGTTTTAATGCTTGATTTGGGGCTTATCATACCACTCGATTTCTGGGTATGTTTGAAAATCTTCAAAATCGTTTTTTTTTTTCTTTAAAAACCATAATGGGTAGAAGTGTAGCTCCGTGCTTGGCATACTCAAGATCCTGGGTTCAGTCCCAAACACCAACAAATAAGTAAATAAATAAATACACAACAAAACCCCTAAGACAGGTAAATTGATAAATGTGTAAAATGGGATACTGTGGCCCTTAAACCCAGGGAGTTAGATTCACAGTGTGCAACTCTATGGAGGCCATAACTTTTTAAGAAAAAAGGCCAAGGCAGAATATTATATTAGCAGAGTACATTAGTGTTGGAGGGTCTGATGCACAGGTGAAAAGAAATGCTGCAAGGAGTCCCCCACATGCTAACAGTGGTTATTTCTGAGGAAGGGCAATAAGAGGGAGATTTTTGTGTTCACTATATAATCTTCCATGTCTGCTTAATTTAAGAGGTACATTATTTTTAAATAAAATATTCCTTAAAATAACTGTAAAGATCTGACGCACGATGTGGGACTGAAAAGAAGGCAAGAGGCTCTGCGAGGGCATCCACAGTGCCCTCTGCCATTTGCCTAGAAATCCCTGCTGAGGAAGGGTGGAAGGGAGACACCAGTCTGGAAGGAAAAACGGAAGTGCAGCCTGCCGTGGGAAGCTTTGTGGTTTATGAATCATCCTGTGTTCCCTTAAATATGACTCTTTCAAGAAAAAGCAGTGTTCCGTGGGCTGGGGGATCCTCCAGCTTTCTTCTCAGGGGGAATGGTCTGTGGAGGGTCGCTAGAGACTGACTGCAGGTGACTTACCCACCTTCCCGCAGGAAGGAGACACACACTTACCAGGGAGAACAGCAGGGTTCCAAGTGCAGCGTACAACAGGTGCAGCCACTGCAGAAAGGAGACAGGCGTAGTATAAGAAAACCGAGAGTAAGGAAAGGGCTTATGCAAGTCCCTGGGAACAGTAAGGACCCAACATTAAGAAGGTCAGATCTGTGGGGAAATTAATCTTTTCTTCAACACTTAATTCCGATAAGCAGCCAAAGGAAAGCTAGCATTTTCACACCAAACAGTATTCACTGTTTGGGAAGTGAGGGAACTGCTTAATGTCTCGTGTGGTAGGACAAGGGGAATGTATTCGACACTGTGCAGTTGACACTATCTGGATGGGATGCTGTCCCTTGCAGGTAGCCCTTCTGGAGAATCCACCCTCCCTTGGGTCGTGAAGAGGCATCGCTGGGAGTGTGATGACCTCACTGGCCGTCGCTGGAGGGGGTGTGGGAAGTGAATATCCACTCTGAAAACAGTGAAACCTACCTGATCAGAAACTTAAGCTCTGTGATGGTTTCAAAAGATGGGCCAGACAGTCGAAAATAAATTTTCAGCATCAAGGACCCAAACAGCAGAAGTTGTTGTCATTTGCCAGTGCCAGAGCGCTTACTGGCGAGGAAAGTTGGCTAGTCAAGCCCAGAGAAGCCCAGCTCTTCTTCCCACCAGGGAGAGACTTTGGCTCTTTACCACACACTGCTCAGACATTGCTGATGAGAACACAGGGTTAATCCAAATGCCCCAGGGTTTGGGGCACATGGAAAGAGGATAAGGAAGAGTGTACAACACCTGTGAAAAACATGGCACAAGTTCTTCAGGAGGAAGAAGGTGCTCCTGAGAGGTTTGAACAGAACACTCTTCTAGCCAGGAAAAGGGTGTTGGAGAGAAACTAAAATCAGGGATCAGTAACTGGGGGCTGGGGCCATGGGCTGGGCAGCGGGTCCAGACTGAGCTCAGTTAGGAAACACAGGACTCCTGAGGCCAAGAGATTGATTCAAAATTGTCCAACTCAACTATGATGTAACTTTGGACAAGATTCCACCAAAGTCTCCTCCCCTTTAAATCTGTTTATAATATTACAGATGGTGAATATTTGCAAAAGGAAATTTCGACTTGGAATTGAGTCAACCTATAGCAAGCAATAATTTTTTAGCCACATACAAATGATACTATAAAGACCTATGGAATCCACTTAATAAATTTTTGCAGTATTATTACCACCTATCTCTGCTACCACCAGTAATAACAGACAGATGTGACCTTTAAAGACGTATTTGTGATGTTTTCACACTTGTCTCCAAAATATAGATGCTATCTTCCTCCCTGTAAGATATGTGGTCATTTATAAAGCTCAGTCAGCCTGGGCACGACCTTTGGTTAAATGCTGAAAGATAGTGTGACAAGCCCAATTGCTACCAAAGAAATTCTTTGGTTTAGCATTTGGGCTCAATTGACCTAGGGTCACAGGGAGGGCCTCCATCAAGGTCTCCACACAGGGGCTGCCCACAGACAGAAACTACAGGGCTAGGTCAAGACTTCTGTCCCCATACCTGCCCTAGTGTCACTCCACAGACAATGCAATGTGGGTAAAGATCTTGAGTGCTGGTGTCTCCATGCCACCTCTGCCCCTAAGCCTGGGGGAATGCTTTGAATCATTTAGTTTCTCTGAGCCTCTCTCATTATCTATAAAACAGATGAAATATGTACTTTTCAGGAATGTTGTAAGAGTTCTATGTGATGCCTATGTGAAAAACACGTAGGTCTATGACATATTCGATAAGAACTCAATGAATACACTTGAGAATAAAGTTAAAAAACTGGAATTGGTGGCACACGTCCATAATTCCAGGACTCAGAAAGTTGAATCAGAAGGATGACCACAAGCTTGAGACCAGTCTGGGCTGCACAGTGAGTTCGAGACTGACTTGAACTACCAAGCAAGACATTGTCTCAAAAACAAACAACCTAGAATTGGACAAGGAATCTTTTTTTTTTTTTTTTTTTTTTTGACAAGCAACCTTTAAGCTGCTGCTGGAAAAAGTCTATTCCTTCAAACAAGCAGCATTCACAGGCAGAGCCAGGCCAATCCCCTAAAGAGCCCTTGGAGGAGAGTATGGTTTAGAGTTGGAGTTCAATCTTCATGCACTGGATCCCTCTGTGGATAGCATCTTCTGATGAACCCACTCACATGAAGCTCATAGGCCTTCAGCTACTAGGAGGGAAGTTAGTGACCATGAGTCCCAGCTGCTGGGCTGGGCAACTCATTGCTGCTGGTGTTAGGCACGTGCCCATCATTGCTGGGACTCCCTGGGGCCACGTCATGTCCTGAATGCTCCCTCCCCGATGTTCCTTCACTTGCGGTCAGATGTGCCGTCCGGGTCCCACAGCTCTCCTGAGCCTGCAGCACTCGCTGCCCCTTTTCTCTCATGGACCTGCCTCTTCTTAAAATCCTTGCAGACTTAGTCCCAGTTCCACATCTGCTTTTCACAGGACCCACAGCCACCACCTTACCCATACTGTGAGCCTTTCTCTGAGGGATCCACTTACATATGATCGTACAAAGATCACCAGGATTCCGTAGATCATTAATACACAGAGGGAAACACACAGCATTCCATTTAGCCAAGTAAAATCCCACTGAGGAAACATAAACAGCACATAACATCTCAGTTAACACCTAGCAGGAATTTCACAATATCTAGAAACAAGTTTTATACCCCAGAGACAGAAACTGCACCACTACCAGAAATTTTCCCAGGCCAATTCAGAAAACTACAGAAATTCATTACCCTAACCACCAAAAAATGCTACATAAAAAGTATTATACTGACCGGAATTTGCTTCAGGAGGAAGAAAAAATTTTTGAAACTGGGTAATGGGTGCATGAGAAATTATTACATTGCTCTATTTTTTGTATTTATATAAAATATCTTCTAATAAAAAGGAACATTAAGATGAAAACTTGTACGAATATAGTGAGTGGTAATTTTAAGAACATATACATAGAAAATATTACTGAAATGAAACATACCTACATGTTAAGTGGACATTCTTATATCCATAAATGTGTATATAGTTTAATAAAATACATATTAAGCCTTCAAAGTTACTGTTAACAAATTATTTAATTTTAAACTTTATTCATATAATGTTTAGTTTTTGTCTATATAAATGTATGACCTCAATCAGCTGGGGGGGCCTAAGAGCTTTTTTTTCTTAAGAAAAGCGATATTTATCTTGTGGGTTTAAAAAGTTGAATTATGCAGCAAAATAGGAATTGATACACAAAATGGCCAAGACATTCTCTTGTATTTTCCCTGTTGCCTCCTGACCTGCAGCTGCAACAACTCCAGGGTGGAATCCACACTCTCCAGTTTGGTGATGGACCAGACTGTTTAGAGTTATGCTTTCAGTACAGAGCTCAGGATACCTAGTACACAGCACTTGAAATGTAGCTACTCTGACTGAGGTATGCTGTAAGTACAAAACACACACTTGCTGTGTGTGATGGTGCATGACAGTAATCCTAGCACTGTAATCCTAGCACAGTAATCCTAGGCTAAGGAAGGAGGATCATAGTGAGTTCAAGGCCAGCCTGAACTGCAGAGTGAATCCTTGTCTCAGCAAGACCAAAAAATAAAATACACACTAGATTTTGAATTTTGGATCAAAAATAGAATGTAAAATATTCATATTTTGATGCATGTTACATGTTAATGTTAACACTATGGTACTAGGATAAAGTGTGTTATTAAAATTAATTTCATCTTTTTATTTTTTAAATTATTGTTAATTTATTTTATTTTTGAGCCAAGCTCTATAGTTCAAGCTGGCCTTGAACTCAGTAGCCAAGGTTGGCTGCAAACTTGCAGTGATCCTCCTGTCTCAGCCTCTCAAGTGCTGGGTTTACATCCATGCAAATAAGCTCTTTAAAAGGTATTCTTGTGTGGCAGAGGATTTTAAACAGTGAGAGGGATTTATGCATTCATCCATGGCCTTTCCTCACTCACTGCAGAGACGCAAATTTCTACAAATAGGTAGGTTCTGCTTTGTGATAGAAATAGCTACCCAGTGATGAATTAAATTTGAATCCCCAACTTTTGATAAAATTGGTAATGTGACAATTTAGCAGACTCTTCTGCTTCTCTGTTGGTTCTTTCTTTTTCCACCAGGAAAGGATAAAATTCTGCACATGTGTGAGACCTTCCCTGAGCCATGTACCAAACTATTTGGAGATTCCATTCTCTTTTGTTGATCAGTCCATCATTTACCTAAAGAAAGTAGTGAGAATGAAGAGAAAGAGCTACTGAGACCACCTCACCCAATATCGGAATGCACCGAAGGGCTGGAAACTGATGGCACAGTTAAAAAAGAACAGCTGCAAGGGCTGGGGATTTAGCTCAGCAGCATAAGTTCCTGCCTGACAAGCACGAGGTCATGAGTTCAATCCCTAGTATCACAAAAACAACAACAACTAGCCTCATACTCTGGGGATTCTCTGGGGGAATTGTGGCATCTTCCCGCTGGGTGAACTGTGTGGATTCTTGATGTATAAACTCCACCGACATCCAGCAAGGGACAGGAAGCACACTTCCAGAGGGCAGCTTGGGGAGTGTGTGTCTATGTGGACCATCCACAAAGTGTCTCCAGGGGCACTGCATGAGTGAGTCCAGAAGGGCAGTAGAAGAGGCACTGCAGAAGTGGGCCTAAAGGGAAGGGGACAAGGAGCCCTGAGGAGGCTGGTTCAGGTTGGCCACATTGAGATAGACAGTGAACAGCAGGCTGAAGGGGAACCCCTGGTGGAGGAAGCCACAGGCACAGGTCTCTTTCCCCTCCTGCCCACCTTCCTCTCTGCACTTGGGGCTCCCACTGACCCATGCCCTCAAACAGCCGAGTGCACTGGGGCATGCTGCAGGGGCCTGGAGGATAGCAGGACGAGCAGGGTGTGTGACAGATCTGGAGGGCCACAGGGACACGTGTGGCACACACCCTTGTGACAGGAATCTGCTTCGGTGATACATACTTTTGTTTGTAGAGCAAATATAGTGAGCGCTGTGGTCACCAAGGTGGTTGCTGCTGTTGCCCACAACACTTCCTCAGCTCTATAGAAACTGAAATCAAGGACCACAGTTATTGTTCGTACGCATTCAAAGAAAAGGACACACACAACAACAACAACAACAAAAGGTGTATCATACACTTACACTGATACAGTTCCTAGCAGCAGACCTTGAAGAATCGTCTAAAAACAAAATTCACAATAAATTAAAAGCCTGCTTCTTGAGGCAGCATCCAAAGGAAATAACGTGAAGTAAGCGCCTCCAGGCTGGGTCTGGGGAGCAAATGGGACTCAGTGCACACAGCCACGGGGGTGTGGGAGCAAAGAATCGTGGCCATAACATTCTCCCTAGGACTGGCAAAATGATTTCACTAGGAAAATTTTACTGGAACACAGCAGGAAATTTACCATCTGCAGGGAATGGAGTGTGAGGGTGGAAAAGGCTCATTGGTGGATTACATCACCGTGAATCAAATGGGGCCACTCACACAGTGTCTTAATATTTTATCAGGGCAGGATAATGCATCTATTAATGCTTCAATTGTGGTTTGGATACTGACATGTTCCAGAGTATAAAATAAGTCTTCAAACCACCGACCTGAGTGAGAATGAGGATATCTTCAGTTCTGGGAAATGGGGCCGAAGGGCAGTTGCTACCAAAGCATGCAGCTGCAGGTGCCACCTTGGCGAGGGGGTCTCAGGGGGACTGGGCTGCAACACACCTATCCCTGGATGGAGCCATCACGGGGCGGGGTGGGGGCAGCATGGGAGAGAAGCAGGGCTAAAAGGTCTTGTGCAGTCAAAACAGAGGGGAAACCAAGAAGGAATGTATCAGGCCCGCAGTCAGGCACAGGACTGTGAGGCTGTGACACAGGCCCCCAACAGAGGCTGTGGGGTGGAAGCCACTCCTCAGCGCACAGAAAACCCCACTGGAGGAAACCAGGGACTCAGGACTCCCTGTCTATGAAAAGACCCAAGGAAGAGAACGTGCTCAGAGAACAAAAAGCAGGGCAAGTCCTTACCAAAATGCTGGGGCCAGAGACACTTTGAACTTCTCCAGCCAACCAACCAGAGGCAGGAGCAGAGGCTACAAGAGAACCGGAGCGAGGAAGTTCTGGATTCCCATGCCTAGTAAGTGATGACTGATTCTCGCATTCTCTCACCAAAACAGGCTGCCTTACCTCCCTCACTGAAAAAAGACTACATCTATGCCATATGCACGAGATAGTTTAACAATATGCTCACTTCCTTCTGAGCATTTTCTTCCTTTTCTCCTACTTTCTTTGCCTCATATTTTCCGAGCTCTAGCAGCACGTGAAAAAGGGACGTGTGTATGTGTGTGTGTGTGTGTGTGTGTGTGTGTGTCTGGGAAAGACTGGGCAGACAGGGACTAGGGTACAGGAGAGAAAGAGGGAATGGGTCCAGGCTGGAAGTCAAACTTGGCTGCTAGGCCAAACTTGCCGGGTGCCCTCACCTGCCTGGGAACACGGGTTCCAAGAGTCAAAATGCAAGGGACCAAAGCTGTCTTCAAGGAGTGGGGCTTTCTATTGTCTCTCAACAACAGGGATGGGTCTAGATTTTCCCAAGAGGAGCAAAACGCCCTAGCAATTACTATCAGGAAGCTTCTGAGAAGTCAAGCAGTGAGAGGTTTGGCCTGACTGGAAAGTGAAAGACAGGGTTAGAGAAATGACTGTTAGCTCTGCTGAGTCCCTGGTGACCTTGGACATTTCAGTGAGCAGAACCTTAGGTTGATAAATTCAGATTTTGTTCTGGTTTAGCTCAGGTACCTGCTGAGAGCTGTCAAGATCCTGGGATGCCCATGGGCAGGACAAAAAGAAAACAGTGCTGAATGATGAAAAATGGTGGGCATGATGCTGCCTGGTGGGAACACACCCCATTGGGGCCCTAGCCAGGAGCCACACTGGATGGGTGACGGGAGCCAAGGGCCTTCACTGAAGCTGGGAAAGGCGGAGAACCTGAGCCCAGGGATGCCTTCTGCTCCCAAAGAACTTGAAATAGGAATAAAATACACTTTACAAAAATAAAGGTACATGTTCTAACAACAAAATGTGTGTCTTGCCCAACAGAAGCTCAGTGACAGTTAAGCTCACTGCTCTGGGAACAGCCCTGACTTGGGAGTGGGTTCCCTGTGAGGCAAGTTTACCAACGTGAAGGAGTGGCTGGCATCCTCAATTCTAAAAATTACTTAAAGGATGTGGATGTTGTCTCCTGGGTCAGTTTACAACTTCCTCATCACCAGAATTCCCTCAAGAAAGTGCTTCACAAATACTTTCTAGCTGCATTACTCCAGGGAAGAGTGTCCACCACAAAAGGAATGACTCTAGTAACATGACAATCACATATTTTGAGGTAAGCTAAAGCAGATGCTAATGAAGTTTACTTACAAACAATCCAAGAAGAATGTAATTTGCCGGCACCTCTCGGCGGATATTCCCACAGCAAGCAAGTATAATGAATACAATAAAGAATGCTGGACTGCAGGATATATAAAAGCGTCTGTTATTTGCTTCCCGTTGTTATACCATATGATTGATATATGTATATATACATACATATACACACAGATATTTATCTTTGCAGGATACCTGATAGCTTTTTCATTCTTATCTATGTTGCTAACAAACACTGGTTACAATTTATGTATTCATTACACAGTGTCAAAACCCATACTTTGATTGGTATTATGTAATGTGTATAGATTTTTTTAACTTTAGTATGAATCCGTGTGTAGATACATATTACTACCACCACAGTTAGAATTCAGAACTATCGCATGGGTCACAAGTCAGTGAAGACCTCGCCAGTGCTACCCCTCTGTGGTAACACCACACATACACGCTCAACCCTAACTCTGGGAAAGCATTAATTTTTTTGTTTTCTATCTCTATAATTTTGTTATTTTAAGAATATTATACTTTTACCTTTTAAAATAGTAATAAAATTATCACTGACTAGCTAGCAGAAACGCCATGTTTTATTGAAGTTAATGATACTTACAAGAGTGAGTAGATGAACCAGGGATGTGTAACCACCCAGACTCTCAAATCTTTCCTGGTTGAGAAAAAATTAATGTAGTTTTACACAATAAGATAGTATATGTTGTTAACTAATGTAATGCTGAGTAGAAGCAAGAAGGTATCACGAGGAGAGTAGGAAAAACTAAAATGAATAGTAATGATGGGTGGAAATCAAACGGTGAAACACTCATCCCCTTCACAGATAAACCGGCCAGACTGGGCAGGAGCGTAGTGGTAGACAGCATTTGCCTAGCATCCATGAGGTCCTGGGTTAGAACCCCAGCACCAAGAACAAAAAGACAAGCATAAAAAGATGTTTTCAGAAGTTGTAAGGCAGATTTAAATAAATGCAAACACCTAGTGAAGTTCTTCATTTTAAAAAATACCATGATTGATATGTATACAAAGGAAAAAAATCAACACATATGTTTGCTTCAGAAATACAGATTTTTTTCATAGGATACATTTAATCAGTGATGGATCACAGTCCCTTGAATAAATTCTGGATTTAACAGTTTCAGCCCCCAACATCTCCGTAACCTTGCTTTATTATTTTATTCAGATTTATCTGTGAAAATGCCTCAAAGAAAATAAAAAAGAAAATAGTCTCCAAAATAAAAAGTAAAAAAAAGTTATTGGCTTAGAAAGTTAGAGTAAAATTCTAGAAATCTACCACCACCTAAATCTAGGAGTTGATTGAGAAAATAACCCTGGAGAAATATTATCTTCTATTAATGACGTAGGGGGAAAATAATTGTTTAAATGATGAACATTTTAAAAAGCTGGTTCATGAGAATTAATGTAACTAACTTAATATTTAATTCTACATCAGTAATACAGACTTACCAGAAAACAAATGTGCCAGTGATTATGGCAGTAATTAACAGCTGAGCCGACAGGAGGAAGAATACTTTCGCAATGAAAGCTGAGGAGACAGAATCGGTCTGTGAGTTCGATCCCCAGTACCAAAAAAAAAAAAAAAAAAGTAAAACTATCAATGTAATTACCTACTTTTCCTATTTAATGGAAGATTTTCTTTTAGGATTGGAAAGAGTGTGCTAGTTTACAGTCAGCAAATGGCACGGTGGCAGAAGGGCGGCCAAACACAGTACCCACACACTAGCCTCTCTTGTTGCTTATTTCCTATTGTGTGGGTTTTCCTAGGGCCCTCTCACTATGGCACTGACAATGACAATTGTTTTCTTATTGTCTTCCTTTGTTTTAGTGGCTTTATCTCAATTTTAAAAGGAAAAATAAATGAAATATTGCATCTTAAAGTTAACTTCTAGGGTGGTCATGTCTATCCTTTTGCTGAGCCGGGAGTATGAAAATAATAGTGGGATTGAGCTTTCCTAATTAACACACTGCAACATATATACTCCAGTGTATGTACCTGCGTGAAAATATTCATTCAACTGTCATTTTAGTTTCTCATGCATAGCAAGAACTGTGAAGGAATAAATATTAAACGTGGCCCAGCTTCGTGCGAATGGGCATCTGGATCAGCTAGAAACCTTAGAATATCCAGTGAAACCCCAAAACTTCAAAGATAAACAAGAATTCCTAAATGTCCTGGGCAATTTGAGAGCACTTGATTATGGCTGCCCTATATCATGTTTCATGATAAAATATGAATAAGAAAAGCTAAACACAAGATTACATCTTTCTGATACTCCACATTGAAAACGTTTTAAGAGAACGTCTCTTACAAAAGATTTTTTGTTTTGTTTTTCTTTTTGCAGGAATGAGAGGGTGGAAGCCAGGTTCTTTTCACTGAGCTTCCTCCTTTGGCCCCTCTCCTTTCTAAAGTTTAAACCAGAGTGTCACTAGGTCACTAAATTGCCAGGCTGGCTTGAACTTTTGATCCTCCCAGAATGTTAATTTCACAGGTATGTAGAACAACACTCAAGTAGTTTCTTTCTTCTCACCGTGGCGGATAGATCTGTCTGAGAATGGACCAGGCGTACTTCCATTGTTTTCATCTGGGGGTGGATCGTCTGAGATTTCTATCACGTAGACATTTGATTTCTTGTCAGCCTTTGGCTTTGGCTTTCCTCCAGTTTCCTTTGACCTCTCCGCGGGTGAAGGCGTGGGGGGCCGACCGGACGGGGGCACATCATTATCAACTGCTTTCCGAACCAGGTGCTGATGATCTCCAGAACCGAGGTCAATTGGCACAATGACCTCCAAGTCCATCTCCCTGGAGGGGGAAAAAACGGCTTTTCACGTCTCTGTGATCATATGTATACAACTTTAGCATCATCACAACATTCAGGAAATAATTTCCTAATTTTAGCTGTCTTAGTTCACTATTTACCATGTTGGTGCTTAATAAATAATTGTTAAATGAATAGCAAATTAATATGGTTAAGATGAGGTCAAAGAGCCACATCATTTATATTCTATTATAGAATTAATAATTTTTATAAATTTGTTCAGCAAGGAGTATGGAAATTTCTTCATCGTTTCTGCCTTCCAAAAACTTACATTTTGGAAACAAGATAATTAGATGAGCAGTAATCTGAAAAGCAATATATGCAGATCGGGAACATGGGAAGATATTAGAGCCACTTCACAGAGTCTGAAAAGAAAAGAGTACAAGAAGTTTCCAAGAGCTCCCAGGAAAGATAAGATTTCAACCAAGGCTGAAAGTTCAATTAGGAGTTGATCAGATGTAGAAGTGGAGAAAGGTATTCCCAGGCAGAGGAGCCAGCCTGGACCAGGACTGGAGGAAGCAGAAAGGACTGGCTGGCTTCATCAACGGAAAGGAGTTTATGTGGTTGAAGTAGGGACATCAAGGGGGTAATGAGATTAAACAGAGGGCACAATGAGTCAGCAACCCACTTAAGGAGTCTGGACTTCATCCTGAGATCCATGGGTGTAAGAGGCAGAATAATGGTCCCTCAGTGATGTCCATGTCCTAATCCTTGGAAACTGTGAACATTATCTTGCATTGTCCAAAGAAAAATTTAAAATGCTACTAAGGGCTTTGAGATAGGGAGATGATTTGGAATCCAACTGAATCATAAGGGTTCTTATGATCATACTTATCAGAGGGAGACAGGAGAGACTGAGTCAGCAAAGGTGATCAGAGGGATAAAGGAATTGTTTTTGAAGATGGAGGAAGGGTGCATGGAGGGTGAAAAGGCAAGTCAGTTTCCTTCTAGAGCCTTCAGAAATGAATGCAGCCCTGTCAGCACCTTGATTTTAGCCCAGTGAAACTAATTCTAGACTTCTGACCTGCAGAACTGTAAGATAATAAATTTGTATTATTTTAAGACATTAAGTGTATGATGATTTATAGGAGCAGCAACAAGAAACTAATCCAATGGCCAATCACTTAAAGTTTTCAAGCAGGAGGCCAAGTAGTTCTAACTACAATAATCACTCTAGGTTTAGTGTAGAGAATGGGCCAGAATAAAACTAAATGGAAGCCGAGAGACAAGAGCAGTGCAGACAAGAGGGTAGGTAGGCTCTGCTACAGCACTTTGTAACCAGAACACAGCCGTTAGAAAACCTCTACTAGGTGTACAAAAATGGTAAAGGAAAAATCCTGCATTTGTGTCGTGAGGACCGTGTAGACTGAGGTAAGCCCTTTGCTGCAGCTTCCAGTCCACAAACAATACAGGGCAGGGAGGGGAATGAGAAGAAAACTGGGTGGAGGGTAAAGGCTCAGACAACCTGCAGGTCAAGTGAGAATGGCATAAATGGGAGGTCTGAACAAAATACCAGGCTCCAGGAGAAACAAATGTGGTTTGGTAAACTTTTCCTTTCTCCCCGCTCAAAGTAAACTCTAAATTTTATATTTGTGAGAATTTTTTTCAGTTCTTGAAACTGTAATTTTAAAGTTCATCAGAAACAGTAAATGTCAAAAAAATGAAAAAAAGAAAATTGAAAAAGAAAGATTGTGGGAAAAAAGGTAATGATTATCACAAACCAAAATATCATAAAAGTATATACTTAAAATTATGATCTATCATGAAAATAGACAAGCAAACAGTCGATATGGAATAGAAAAGATTCAAAAAACAAACTGATATATATATTCTCATATATGTTAATAACCATAGATATTCTAAAAGAAATATTTATATAAGCCTTTGAAATAGTGATATCGTAAAAGAAATGCTTGATAGATTTGGGGTAGAGGAACACTTCAGATGCTATCAGAAAAAACATAAATATATCTGAAATGTAAAATGATAAAAACATTTGTAATGTTCACTAAGCCTTATTAAAAAAAAAACTTTAAAGGGGAAAATATGGACAACTCAGTAAAAAGAATATAAACAGGAACGTCACAAAGAAAATTTAAATCTTAGCAGATAATACCTTACAGATAACCAAAGAACTATGGGTAAAAACAATAGTGAAATGTCCTTTTTCAAGTCTAGCAAAAATTATAAAGCTAGTTCTCAGGATCACAAGAATATAAAGAAATAGAACATCCAGGGTCACAGTATGACTTGCATGGGGCCCACATGCATTTGCCCTCACAGGATTTCTCCTGAAAAAATGAATTATACTGCAATACAAGCAATTATAACAATTTGATATGTTCATATGATAAAAATTCAAATTTATTTTTGAAAAGATCTTTTAGATTATGCTGATATGAATATTTTAGTCTGAATTTATTAGATATTTATTATTATATTGATTTTTTCACCAGATTTTTGGGGGGAGTATCAAAAATTGAATCCAGGACCTTGTACTTTGCCAGGCAGGTGCTTATGCTGCTATGCTATATCTCCCAGCCCTCACTAGAGTTTAGACAAACTGAAACTGTTTTCATGGCCCACAAAACAAGTTAGGCCCAAGACACTCAGCCTCCTGACCTCAGGGAGAAGTCGGCCATGTGGGGCCTCACAGCAGTATGAACTCAGACAATGGCATAGCATTTGCAGAATGCACTACTTTAGAACCTGTATTCATGCTTTTAGGAGTTATCCCCAAAACACTCCCAAAGAGCAAAGATGCATAAAAAAGGAAGTTCATTACTTCATTAATTATTTACAGCTAGTATCTATCAGTAGGAGAATAAATTTGGCAAAGAGAAAAGCAGAAAAATAGACACATGTGTAGATATAGATCACAGTGGAAAGTTCACTGTGATAACTGTGCATTTATGAAAGAAGAATACAGAAATTATTTAGCAAGGTTATGTTTCTATGTCTCACACACACACACATCCACTTCCACAGACTGCAAAGACGTGTTACAACTGTTCAGACTGTGAGCTGGTAAATGGAGGGTTACATGCTGAATGGTATGGATTTTTACCATGCAAAGTTATTAAAATGATAATAAATATATTTATATTTTGAAGAAAAAAAAGAAATACTTCCCTTTTTGATAATGTCTGGAGAGCCTCTGAGAAAGCACCCCTCGCACAAAGCTGAGCAGCACCAACAGCTCCTCAGATGCCTTTGGATCCTCCCCAGTGCCCTACAAATCAGGAGACCGACAGGCAAGATTTTTCACAGCATTTACAAATAAAAGTAAGCAGATCCTAATGGGCAGTTGGTATTTCTGCATAAAACTACATTCGTCTAGTGCCTAAACCACAAAATCAGACTTTTACCTCACAAAAACTGTGCTGAGCCAGCAGTCATCCAAAGGACAGGCAGGTACAGAGGTGAGAAGCAGAGTTCCAGCGACAGTTAGAAGAATGGCAGTTGGAGCCTGCGGCGGGGAGGGGCTCGTGCTCCTTGGGATAGAAGCTCTGAAGTCGTGCATCTGCCCAGCCCTGACCTGACCAATGCACTCTGAGTTGGGTCTTAGAGAAGCCAAGAGCCAGTCCCTCAAACCAGCTCTTTGTCAAAGGAGAGCCAAAGCCTTTTTATTCTGGAGAACAACTGCAGCCAAGGAATCTATTTGGTCTTGCAGTGTGTCTATAGACACTAGTATGGTAGCAAAATCTCCTGTTATCTGAGCATTTAACTGTGCTTATACCCGTGGCTGTGGCACTGAGGATTAAGCTCCCTGTTATTGCTGTCCCTGCTAGAATGGCCAATATAACAGGGTCATGCTTCTGACGTGACTGATGTGTATGTGGAGGGCCTTGCTGGCCTGAGTAGATAGGGGTCAGGGACTAGAAAAGCAAGTGTACAGAGGTCTATTGTGGCATCAAACATGTGATGGACTTCAGCAAACAAAGAAACTTCCCTAGGGAGCCGCTAAGACCCTGAAGTAACAGTCAACACATCTACACAGTCAGCAGAATCATTTGAAGCAGGAGGTTTATAGCACTTTTTGGTTTCTCACCATTTTGGACTCACATACTGACTGACGGGGTAATATTTGTGTTCCTAATTTAATCTTCCACATCCTGAGGAGTAGCAACGGTTTTCCAATTTATGGTTTTAGCCTGAGCTGGACGTGCAGTGAAATAAAGGTACATTTTAGGTTGGGGAGAATTTTATCTAGTCTGAATAAGAGTTACGAGAGGACTTGAACCATGAATTTGAATTTTTGAATTCCCCATGTTCTGAATTACCATGTTTCCAGTATGTTTAAACATATTAACCACAGGCAAATAATTTTATACATTTAAGAGTGCTTAGTCTGGGGCTGCAATATGGTTCAGTGGCACAATGCCTGCCTGGTAAGCACAAGGTCATGAGTTCCCTGGTACCACACCTTAAAAAAAAAAAAAAATAAGAGAAGGCTTAGTCCAGTAACTAAACAAGGTAGAAAAGGAAAAAAAGTAATCTTTTTTAGAATTTTCCAATCCTCTGGGGACATAGTCCAAAATGTAACTGCAAACTCTAATACTAATGGGAGGAAAATAAGAATTCAATAGAATGCAGTACATGCAAGCTACAGATATCCCAGTGTACGGTCTTCATTCATTCAATCAGTCAGCTGCCAGGGGTGACGAGAGCAGGGCTTTGAGTGCGTTGTCTCTTCAGGATGGTTCTTCAGGGGACTGGACTCATCAGGACAGGATGAGGCTGCTAAACAATCATCAGGATGAGCCCGCTTGATCCTGGAGTAGAGGATCCAGGGCTAGATCTCTGTCAGTTTTTAGTGTCCTATCTTGTTCTTCATCTGCCCAAGCTGGCAACCTAAAGGTGGCCCAGGTGCCCGAGCACACTTGTAAGGTCTTTTTTTTTTTTTTATTCATCACGAGGATTCACATTGTCTGCAACCTTGTCCATTGGCTTGACTTGTCTGTTCAAGTTTCAAACCAGAGTTCTTTCATCCTGGGCTGGATAGTGACCAATGCAGAGCATGGGGCTGAGTCACAACTAAACCCATCAGTATATCTGGTGTCAGCTAGAGGTCATTCTTTCCCTGTATATAGGGACTCTAAGTCCAGGATGGGTTCCTTCTCCATGTACATCACAGGTCCCAACCCAACCATTGCCAGTTTGGCTGCCAACAGGCTTGCTGAGAAAAAGGCCCACTGTTGGGGATGTGTCCCCCAACTCCTGAGAGGAGGAGCCTGTACCACACCACACTTGGGATGGGCTGTTCGCATTCATGTTCATTCCTGTCTATCCTGTAATTTCGCACAGTTATGTGCAACAGTTTTTAGCACTGCTGTTTCTCAATCAAGGAATGCCTGCTCTTGGCTCCCTTTCACAGCTATGACCAAAACCACACAGGGTGCTTCAGTTTCCCCGGCTTTAGCCATAGGCCTCGGTCAAATCCATTGTCATCCACACTAACAGTTCATATAAATGGCAGGCTGGCGTCAGTGACTCGTAGGGCTTGCAACTATCCAATAGCCCTCTTTTGAGTCCTGAAAAGCAGCTTCCATTGTATCTATCCAGCAAGCAGCTTCCACTGCATCTGTTCAGCCTCATGTAGTGACTCCTTTTGGTCACCTGGTATAAAGGGCACAGCAGGGTTGGTAGGTACCATATGTTAGCCAAAAACCTGGCAAACACACACACGCCTGTAACTGGTGTGCTGTGGTGGGTCTGATCTTACCCAACCACGTAACACCCAAGAATTTGACAAACAAAGTCAGGTCCCTAGATCTTGACTTTGTCTATGGTCCATCCCCATGTTAGCAAAGCTTTCTTCAGATAGTGCATGGTGGCTTTCAAATCTGCAAGATAATCAAGTTAACACAATATCAATACAAAACAGTGACAGAGTGTGGCTTGGCCCAGGGGGTCAGATCCTGGGCCACACCAGGCCACGACACAAAGTTAGGCTATGCAAATAGCCCTGTGGAAACATCTGGAAGGTCCATTGCCTGCCCTCCCAAGTGCAGGCAAATTGGTCCTAACTGCCAATGTCATTTAACATGATCCATCTGGCCACTGCATGGGCCATCAGGGAATTGAAAGGGCTCTGTGCAGGCATATCACCCATGCTTTTTCCAATTTTAAGACAGTCTGTTTTATCTCCTCATGGCCTGCAGGCAGCCAGTACTGCTTCACGCACACAACCCCTGTGGCCTGTGGGGAGAGTCAGCAATACATACTGCGTATGGCCTCTCATCACAGTTTTTACCATGTGAATTTGCAGGGTCTAGCTGAGCATCAGTCAGTATGTCAGTATGTGCTTAGCATTTGGGGAAACACAAATATCAAACAGGTATAGGGGAAATGTCCTATACCCAAAGTCACCTGGGCCTTCTGGACCATGATATAGTGACCTCTATATCCTTCTATGTTTTCAGTGTGTCCTGTAAAACATTGTGTTGTCAAGCATTAGCATTGACTCAGCTCTGGTATCCATCAATGCTAATACATGCTGTACATTCTTCGGGGACCAGTAAATAGTCAATTTCACATGTGGCCTCTGGTCACCTGGAAACCTCCAAGATCCATGTACCTCAGTTTGCCTCCTAATTAGGGTAAAAGAAAGCCAGTGTGATTTCTTTCCATTTTATCAGGCCTGCTTTGGCCTTCTGGCCTTGGCCCATCAGTCAGTGTATATCCTAAGACTGCTGTCTAACTTATCTGTGGCTAGGCTGGCAGCCAGCAGGTCTGTCAAAATCTGGCATTGATTGACCTTCAGTGGCCCCACAGCTTATCCTCGGAGAGATGGCCCCATTTTCCAGGGCCCCCCCCTTTTTCTTTTTACAAATCTTGTCTTATCTTAGCATTGTATTTTTATATTTGCCAGGCTGGCTAAGGCATCCACAGCATCATGGATTTGGCGATCCATGAAGGGAGTCAGAAGGGCTGTCCCTGAAATAAGCACATTAGCCTTCATGCCAGAACCACATGCTTTGTATGTGCCACCAGCAGTTTCTCATGTGGGCAACTGTACTGTAGTGCAAACATTATCTGCTGTACACCCATTTTATATAGTGCAATTAGCAAGTCTAGACAGTGATTTGCTCCAGCAGGTCACCTGAATTATCCCAAACCTGGTGAGCTGTTGCCATCAACCAACTTGTCACAGTCTGTGTATCTGCTTCTGGGGCCATTTTCCATACATTCTATAGCACCCATGTCATAGAGGTCGTTTTGACTATGCTGGCTATTTGGAACATTTTTTGTGGGCTCAGTTGTGTGTTATTAGCCCCATCGTCTCATAGCCATAGCAACCACACAGCCACAGTTTCATCCACCTTTTGCTTTAATTGTCTTGTCAGCTCCCACAGTTCCATGATGTGTAGAAGTAGGTGGCCCTCCCAGTCCTCCTCCTTGGGCTTGGCTGGGACCTGCATTGACCTGTGGTGAGTGTTGGGAATAAAACCTTTCCATGGGAAAGGGAAGGACATCTTGGAACCAGGCAGGACTGGCAGAAACAAGGTACTGCAGAGACTTCAGTCAGTTGTTCCCTTCCCAGACAGGATTGGTCAGATGTGCTTGGCCTGGGTCACGCCCCTGGCTGGGAACCAGTAGGGTGTCCCAGACTAGTTCCCTAGGCACTGCACACACTAAGGTGCAGTGAAGGCCTCGGTGGGGTGGGCTGGCTGACCCAGAGGGGAGGGGCCAACATGGCCATCCCTATTTGCACTTTAATAGCACACTGGAGTAGGCAGGGTCACCTAGCCAGCATGCTTCAGAAGAGCCAGAATCAACAAAAAACAACAACAACAACAACAAAAATGGGACTGGAGCCTTCTTTATATGCCTGTATGGAAGAAACAAAAAATATGAGAAGAGGAAACAGTAAGAAAAAGCTCCCATCCCCCAACCCTGAGAACACTGATCCAAGAAAGGTAAATACAAAAGAGACTGAGGACACATCAGATGTGGCATCAGTGGACATAAAGAAATATACTCAGGACATCATAGATGAGTTCAAAAGTGAAATACTTAACCAAGTAAAGCAAGATATAAATAGATTAATAAAAGAAATGCTAACCACCTCTCAAGAAGACACAGATGGAAGAATGGAGGAATACAAACAAAGGAGAGAATCATTTGATGAAGAATATAAAGAAAATATAAAATACATGAAGCAGATTCAAAGAGACTACCAGGAAATTAAAAACTCCATTGAAAGATGGCAAAACTGCTTGAAAGAAACTAATGATAAATTATGCAAACTGGAGGACAGGTTTGCAATGTGGGAGTATGAAAGTAAAAGCTTTTTAAAAATAACAAGGAAGGGGCTGGGGATTTAGCTCAGCGGCATAAGCACCTGCCTTGCAAGCAGGCGGTCTTGAGTTTGATCCCTGATACCGATAAAAAAAAAAAATGAAAAAGACAAAAAAATAAAAATAACAAGGAAGCAA